ATGGATCAAAAGTGATTAGTCACAACGCATTGTATGACAACTATGCTCTTTACAGTTGGCAGCACATCAATTTTCAATAAGCTACAGCAGCACCTCTTTCTTTAAAAATGCCTTCAGTTCTGTCCGTGTGCTTGAGGGTTTTTTTTTTTTGTGGCATCTCGCCTTCACGGGGGAATAAAACGGCTGTTATGAAATCTCCACACAGACCTAGCAAAATGTGAGCAAAATGTCACGACTGTTTCCTCAACACAGTTTACCGTGAACTTTTTTTTTCTGGAGGTCACTATAAAAGTACTGCTGGGAAATAAGTTGGTTTTCTTTTCTCGTCCTGATTTCTAAAATGGTGCCCTCTGCATTTGTCAGAGATAGCGAGACAGCCTTCATTACAGGTAAAAAAAAAAAAATATATATATATATGTATATATATTTTGAATGGCTGCTTTTCCCTTTTAAACAAAATGAGGCCTGACAGTTTGCCAAACAAAGATCTTATGGGCTCCATGTCTTTTTCATGGTAATTGCTAGACAGAGGAAGCAGTGTGTAGTGCCAAAACACCCACTCCAAGCCGGACTGTGCAGAATTGTAATGACTCTTTGTTAAGTAAAGTTTAGAGACCAAGCTAAATAATAAAGAATTAATTCAGTTTTTAAGGATAACAAGGAAACTATACATTTGGTAGCGCACCTACAGGTGTCAGCATTTTGTACATGGACATATTTTAGACAGGCAAGAAGAATAACATTCCTGGAAGGACTTGCATGTATCCTAGGTGCCGTGGAGCCCCAAGAGTCATTTACTAGAAATGCTGCAGAAATGTCTGGATTTTGTGGCACCCTTGACATTCACTGGTGCAGAAATGCAGTTTTAAAGTTCAGTGGAATTTGGAGTCCGTTCTGTTTTTTGGTTATTGTTTTTTTTTGGCAGTGTTATTTCACCAACAGATGAGTAAATACTATTGAAATGCTGCTAAAAATTTGGCTTAATACTCCGTATTTGCTCTCTACTTGTAAATTATTTGCATTTATTGCAGATATTAATCTGTTTTTTCCTCCAATTCATATTAAAATGCAAGTTTCTTCCTGGTAGAAGAGAGTTGTCCCTGAATGTATTTGTTCAGAATGAGGAAGACCTTTTTTTCTTGTTATTATCTTGTGTGGAGGTGTTGTTCCATACTATATGTTGCTGTTTACTTGGTGGTGCGAGTACAGGGAAAAATATTTTCCCTACAGGGAAATAAAATCTGAAATCTAAAGATTTGATTAAATCCGCTGGTTTCCTCTGACAGACATTACAAAACAAAAAAACCCACCAGAATATTATTTTGCTGTTCATTAAATACATCCAAAGTATGAAACTAAGCCAGTATCGATCTGTAAGTCCAAAAGTGACCTACTTTAAGCTTGATTATAGATTATATAGATAGATTATAGATGGGGACATACTTCTGTTGTCTTGCCAAATCTTGTATTTCCTTCATTTTCAGTTGGCTTGAAAACTACTAGTTCTTTCAGAGAAACTGGAGAAACTTTTTTCTGTCCTTTGAAAACATTAATCGAAATCAGGAAAACAGAGATAGAAGAAAAATGGAAATCAGTGTAGGCCAAAAAAAAAAAACTCAGATCTTCACACATTTAAACTGAAGATGTCCTTTGGACATGTTGTTGTATTGTTAGTGATTCAAAATATTCAGCCATCTTCTTTTCACGTTTAGTTATCAGTATACCATCTCTAAATAATTTCAAAATGCAGCAGAGTATGATTAGGACAGTCTGTGTGAAATTAAAACTGAATTGGGTTTAAAGTGTTCGTGTTTTCTTCACAAATGTTATGTCTGAGATGATAGCACAAATGGATAGCAAGAAAAAAAACATAAATATAACATCAACAACTCAATAGTGTGTTATTTTGAGGTTCACACTAAACAGGGTCACTTCTTATAGCTGATGCTGAGTTAAATAAAGGACAAAATGCCAAAAGAACCAAGAGATTTGTCCGAAAAATTGAACCGTGTGAGTTCTGAAAGCTTCTACGATAACAACAGGCGCATTGATTTGACCTGTAATAAACCTCGACTTTGCTTTAAAACTGCACTTTGTGATTAACAACAGCATGATCCAGTGGTGAAGAAAGAGACAACGGGTCAAAGATACACTGACCCAAATCCGTGCAGGGTATTTCAAAATGTACAGCTCCACATCCGCATCTCGCGCGGAGCTGCAGGTGCTTAAAGTGTTTTCCCAAACAGACCACAACCACCGTGGGAACATGACCGCGGATAAAGTGGTCGCTAGGAAGGGGGAGGCCAGGGTTACAGATAATAACCCCTGGTGTAAGCACAACGCCTGACAAGAGTAGCGTTGTTCAGCTCAAAACTAGCCTGAGTTCAACAATAAAAACAGGGATATTAGCAAAACCAAAGTATCCAACTTACTGTGATGGTAACTTCGTGTTTTTTCCGTCGATTTATGAAGCTCTTCATCTTGTAATGTGCTTGTTTGTGATATTAAAAGTATTCTCCACCGCTAAAGTTCATAAATATACCGCAAACTGACTTAAAAGTTTCGAACCAGTAAAGTTTCTTTTTTTCATTTGTTCCCTCGTCTTCACAACCCGAGTTTCACCTGACGCTTTTAACTGTAAACGCTGGTTGCATTTCGCTTGACAATCTGCTCATCCAATCAAAACGGGAATGAGCACGGTAGTTGGCAGTTAATCCAATGGGAGCTCTCAGGGGGCGGGACTTCCCTGTGTGGTGCAGTTGGGAAACGTAGAAGACGTCCTGGGACAGAACAAGGAAAAATGTAAGCAGGTTTACCTGAAACAGAGACACCCGGAGTACTGTCATCACCCGCACATAATAAAACTAAAAAAAACAACAACAACAAAAAAAACGTAAATGTTTTGTTTCACCACCTATACAAAATAACTTATTTGGGATTATATTAAACTAGGTGTCTGTTCTCAGGGCTTTTATCCAAATAAAGCATATAATCATGTTTTATGATCACTTAAGTAAGAATCTGTCAACAGTTTCCAATAAAAACAGAAATATAAATTTGATTGAATTTTAATACATCATTTGCTTATGAAATCTGACTTCTTAAGACTATGCAAATGAAATGTAACACATACATACAACTGTTTTTCAATTCATGGAAGGGAAGATGGATGTATAAGTATGATTTTTACTAATCTTTTTACAGACCACGCATAATATAAGTTTTATAAAGTAAAATAGTCCAAACGTCTGATTTGTCAACTAAGCCATATAATTTTGCTGCTTTTTAGACGATGGCATACGTTTACTAGTTTTTGATAACTTCGATTGTGTTAATGCAAATGGGATAAAGTTTGACCAGATTATTCTTTTTTCTTTCTTTCTTTTTTCAAGATTTTTTCTTCTGCATCAATGTAACATTTTTATTTGAACCACTGACAGATTTTTTTGTAATGCTTTGTAAGTTATTTTATTTCTTCTTTTTGCCCTAACCCTAAACCCTTCAAAATGTCATGTTTTACTGTTTTTCAACAGATGAAGAAGAAATGATCTCTGTGTTCTGCCGTCCAGCTTCTGCAGGCAGAACGTCTATTTGTCTCTTAAGTTCCACTGTCGGTGCTGTACAAACCTGCATAAACAAGTCAGACACTAAAGGACACTCGTGCAGGCTTCCTAACGGCCTTGTGCAGCGTGATAAGAGATTTGTCTGTGGTAGGGTTTTGCAGATCTCAAAGTGACCTCAGGCTTTCCTGAAAAACAACTCCAAAAAGATGGACCGTCTTGTGGTCTGTCGTTATCTTCACCATTCTTGCAGCACGAAACTTGGTCATAAGACTAGAAATGGAACAAGGGCTGTCACAAAATAGTACGGCCATTCTGCAGGAGAACACCAGCTTCTAGTCTTCCTGTTGCAAAGGCCTCGCCTTGAAGGGACAACGTTCTGGCATGCTGATGCTTGAAGCACACGCAAACTCATCAAAGTTGCGAGATCCATGGAGACAACTGCTGTCAATCAGATCTAAATCAGGCACCTATTATACCTGTGACTGGCACAAACCTGACAGCCCTTGAAGCTCTAAATGAGAATAGCAGCAGGTGAATTTCAATAAGGGATTGTAGCACTTTGTGTAAGTTGGGTGGTGAGAGGAGGTGGCACACCAGCAAACCTTTTGCTGTGTCGCTCATTTCACAGATGCATCATGTTTACAAGTTATGCCTTGTAGTAAAGGTGTCTGATCAGGCTTTCCAGTAATAAAAAATGCACCACTAATTAATATATGATGAGGGAAATGACTGATTTAATGTTTCCAAACCTTTTTGTGTGTGTGTGTTTCTTTTTGTGTGTATTCATTGAGTTACAAAGCAACAATAAAAAAGCTAATATTTAGAGTGAAAAACAATTTTCTAACAATTTTAGTGTTTTGCAGCTCTGAAAATGTATGGTAAGTTGCTGCTATTTGCTTTTAAAACACATTCCTCCAGTTTTCCTTCTTTTCAGCAACAACTACGCACATCCTTTCATGCATTGTTTGCTTTGCTTAAACTCTGGGAACATTTAATTACTTTATCAATTATATGCAAACAGAAGTCTCCAAAGTATTGGCTTAAAACCAAAAACGATTTTTGAGGGAATCAGACAAAACTAGAGAGAAATGCTGCCCCCTTGTGTTGTGTTACATATCGCGCTATAAGGGATTTTTTTTTTTTTTTTTTTACCCAAATGGATCAACCTTTAACTCTTTCAAGACAAAATCCACTCCATCTATCCAATTTAAAATCAACATCATACGTTTAACTTTATTTTTTTTTAAATCATTGTGCTTTCATTAAATCAAATGAATCCGGGGTTCAGCTGGTTGCTTATTGTAAGTCTTCTGACTCCAGCTGTGCTGGGTTGTAACAAGAACCAGACTGCTGTTGAATACTGTAATTATTATTTAATAATTCATACATCATTACTTATTTAGATTTATCACAGGGGATTTAGAGAATAAGCATGAGTAAATTAAACAGGTTTAATGATTGTAACATAAATAAAAAGGCATGAAAAGACAACATTTACACTGAGAATTTAATTAGCTTTTTTTAAATAAACTCACATTTGCATCAGAAACCCCTCCACCCCCCAAAAAAACAACAAAACTTTTCAACATATTGTTGATTCAGTTGAATATAAAATAAAATTTTTACAAAACAAATCTTGGAGGTTTGACATATACCAAAGCAGAGAGGAAGTTCTGTTGCTTTCAGAAGGTGACTTTTAACTTATTGCATCTTTAAAGAACAATGACAACATCAAATTGTTTAAAGACGTAACCTTCGCAGACACAGTAAACAATTTGGACTTTTTAAACAACTTTTTCTTTTTTTTCTTTTCCGTTTTTACAAATTGATATAAATGCACAACATACAAACATTTTTATTGTTTGGCTGCTAACCTTGTAGTTCAGCATCGATTCACAGCTCACGTGGCCAAAAGAAGCATAAATAATGATAAGCATGCAATAGTAACAGGCACCTCCGTTGGAAAAATAAACAAAACACAAAAATAGGATAAAGTTGGCTGCTGAAATGACTGTGAAACTGTTTATTTTGTCTCTTTTTAAACAAAGTGATATCAAAAGTAGGTTATGTTTTCTTCCCCTGCAAACTGTCACGAGCGCCTAAGATCTTTTCAGATGAAACATGTCAGCCAAAGTGAAAAAGTTCATCCGACTCTTCAATCCACACTGAGCTAATGGTTATTTTTATTTGTGGCCTGACAGGGCGGTGATGTGTCTCGCTCAGAGCGCTGCGTTGCTGAGAGCTCTCACACAGCTTTGCGGTGGTACTCAGGGGGGGCGACCTCGTAGTCGCCGACGCTGAAGAGGCTGGCCGAGTTCTTCACGAGGTACCTGGAGAAACAGTGAGACTATTTATCACCAAGTGGAGCAGCGTGGAATCTGCTGCGGCAGAAAAGCTTGTAGAAAGGCACAGGCTCACGAACATCAACGGAATCCACACGAAGCAAAATGTCGTTTTTTTAAACTGTGTTTGCGTTTTTTTTTGTTTTTTTTGTGTGTTGGACATATTGATGTTTTTATTCAGAACTCATGCAATTTACTGAATTAAACAAAAGCAAATAATCTGCAATGAATAATCTACATATTCTGTCTTAAATCTCCATGCAGCAGCTCAATGTGCAGTAAGTTCCATTCTGATTATTAAAAAAAAAAACGCAAAATAAAAAATAAAAAAAAAGAGCTGCTTCCTGAGCAGAAAAATCGATTTCATAGCCTTCGTTTCAAAGCATTTCCGCCAAGCGTGGCTGCACTAATATGAAAGTGGAAGGAAGAAACTAGTCATCTGAGAATCAGACAAACATGACATGGAGTCTCTCGTGCAGGGAGGCGGAGCTTACTTGAGGAAATCTTGGAGGTAACTGAGCAGCAGGGCCAGACTCTTCTCGTCCAGTAAAGTGTACGCCAACATGGCTCCGATACGAACTGTTGATGAATAAGAGGAGGAGCAGAAAATTTGTTCTTAATTTATGCTTTTTATTCTTGCTATAAAAAAATATTAAGAACTAAAGCTGGTTAAAGCTACCACGTTACATATGTAAAATCAGGAATAGGAGGAGATAAACTGAAAAAAAATAAAGCCAAATAATTCATTCCTAAGGTTTGATGTAGGCTAATTTATTTGCTTGTCCATTTATAAAATCAAAATTACTGTCATGATTATTATATTGGTTTAAAAGTGGAATGTAAGCATGAAATATTTGGAAACAAGTGCATATAAATAATTTCATACACGTAGTTGGACAAACAATGTGTCAATATTTCTGCCTAATGAACAAAAGTAAATTGCTTCAGAAAATTATGATAATTTTTAAAATCAGAAAGCGTTTCCCATCAGAGTCAAGTGAACAAAATCAACTGATCAAATAAAGCTTATTGGCCTAAAATAACCTGACTGTAAAAGCAGACCAATCAGATGTTTCAGATTTTACATGTGGGTTCAAGTGTCCAAAAAAAGTTAAATAGCATTTACACGACGTGGCTGTTTTGTTACGCAACTCTGCAGGGCTGCAAGATGACTCTAGGAGTTTTGATTTATAGTGATGATTTTGGTTTATCTAGGATTAAGTTTATGCAAAGACAAACAGGCTGCTACTAGAAAGGCCAGTTCAGCTTCTAACAAAGAAAATAAACTTGTCAGGTGATCTAAAATCAAACATCAGCGTGCGCGTCTCTCAGTGAAATGTTCGCCCCGTGATAATATTAACCGTGTTTCACTTGTGGTGCTTTCCGTTCAGACGCACCAAACAGACGCAGCAGGTGTGGAGCTCCGTACACCTGAGACATCGGCACATCCGGGCGCTCAGACAGGATGTCGGCGTACTGCGGCCTCTCGAACTTGTAAAGCAGCTGAGTGCCCAGCATGACGTTGAAGTACTCCCGGATCCCGGCAACCACCTCGTTCACGGCGTACTCCCTGCAGGAAAAGAAGAGGGAATCCGTTGCACCAAACAGCACCTCAAAAGCGTCCAGTCAAAGTCCTGGGGTGAAATGTAGCCTTCAAGAGAGTAACTCATTGCTTCTGAGCTCAAACCTCCTCCACATGTTTAGCATTGTGTCATTTTAATGCGCTTATAGAACCCAGTAAAAAGACGAGAAGACGTGGGGGAAAAAAATACACCAATGCCTGTAAACAAGCTAAAGAGAAGAAAATATTTTTCTTATGGCATTTTAAATTCAATCCACGTGAAGTGCAATTACAGTTGAGGCAACTGAACACGGTGAGCAGCACAAGCAAACCTCCTCCTGGCGTAAAGCGCAACAAAGAGCAATAAAACTGCTCGTAAAGTGGATTCGGAGGAGGAAAGTAAGGACGCTAATGTGGAAAACACATTATGTGACAGGCGGTGTAATGAGGTGGACACATGAAGCAAGGCTGACAGGATGTTGATGTCTCTTGTCTTTTGACATTCAGAAAACATCAGGTGGGCGAGGGAGGAGAAGGGGAGCGTCTTACTTGTTGTCGGAGTTTCCTTTTGATTTCTTGTAGTTTGCATAGTCCTCCAAGATCACCTCCACGCTCTTCTTAGCAGGCAAGTGAAATAACTGGAAGCAAGAAAACAATAAATGCTTTCTATTCAACACCGAAGGTTGTGATGCATAGCTGTGTTCACGGTTCATTTTGGTGCGTAATTATAACATTTCCTGAGAGCCTCAGTCGCTCAGGTTGGACCTTGATTGCTTTAATTTTCCATTTTCTTTACAACTTAGGACAAAAAATCTCCTTGTTGTTCTGGGGCCTGAAACAGGTAATGAAGAATGAGGAAAAAAGAAGAAAAGGACGGGATGGATACAAAGAGAGCGGCAGCCGACTACCGACTTAACAAGTCGGACAGATGAATTAGCATATCTCCTTTGCTGTTTTTTTTTCTCTCAAAACACTGATTTATGTCAAAAAATTGTTCCAAGTTTTTAGTTTGATGATTCAAACCTGCTGTATTGTATTCAGTGTGACAAGCCCTTCTCCTTCCAGACACTTTTTTTTTCTTTCTCCACCGCATGGTCACGAACCTTAACATTTAAAAGCCAATCGAATCCGGGACGGAGCTCTTAGGGTGGTTAGGAAGCTTCCTGAAAACTGCACAGTCTGACCTCCAGCTGAACCCGGTGGAACATGAACTCCTGGAGAGACTGGAAACTGTTTCTAATGATCTCCGCTTGAATGAACTCTCAGAGCAGAACGACGGAGTCCAAACGGGTTGGGACGTAACCCTTCCTGGCCTGACGAGCAGCATTCTCCAAGACAATCCGAGTTTTCGCTCTTGACTTAAGCAAACCAACATACAGACAACAGATGTTTACACTTGGGTGCAATTTAAGCTCTCAATTTTTTGTTAAATCATGGAAGTAGGGTTTTGTTTTTCATGCTTTCAGCTGGTTTTGCTTGGTCAAAAAGCAAAAAGAGAGATCGTTTGGTAACGTGTTGTTTATTATTAGGTCGAGAAAAGCAACTTTTTTCAGGCCTGATGATGAGAGCTAGTGAGATATGTTTTGACATCCAACACCATCTGTCATTAAGAAAGCATACTTCTTGTACTTTTCACATGAAAGCCAGATTGTTGTTTTGTATCGTCATGACATCATTTGTGAGTCGACTGGTGGGATGAGCTCAGAGCCCTGTGGTCTCTCTGCAATCAAATGCAGCATTAGAAACGGCAGAGTTGTGCAGGTCTCAGCTATAATCCACCGTCTGCTTCATTTGATAAAGGTTGGTAAATATGTCGTTTAATTTCTCTCAGGAAGATTATAGCAACAAGACAGCACACCTGTCTTATTTTTTTGTGCAGCTCTGATATTTTTCTTGTTGTGTAGCCGGGTAATTCCTGAGCTGAAGTGTAAGACAGGAAGCTTGTTACAGGGTGTTTTGCGGGTGTGTGTGTGTGTGTGTGTGTGTTTTTTTTTCTTCACACCTGTTTCTGTCGTGTGATGAGGTCCCAGTCGTCCACCAGCCAAGGTTTCAGCTCCTCGGGAATCTTCACCTTCACCTCCACACGGTTCGCAAACATTTCCTCCTGGGTAAACACACACCTCGTCTAATTTAATACGGTTGCAATACATCTAAAGATTTAAAATAAAAAACAGCAAGAGATGGAGCAGATTCCTCCTTTTCACCAACTTTTCATCCATGAAGGATCACATCATTTCTTATGAGCAAAAAAACAAAACGAAACAAAAAAAAAATACCCAGAACAAAACATATTCCACCTGATCTGAGCCAAGTAATGGCAACAAAAGGCCACACAATTCAACCCACTGATCCCCGTAATTAGCATCAGTTACAAAAAAGGACAAATTCCCAAACAGTTTAGTGTGTTCCGTTTGCATAGAGTAAGAAATGGCAATGAATGACATTAAGTCATACCAACTGTAAAGCATGGTGTTGGAAGGGTAATGCTTTGGGTTTCATTTTGATCCACAGAACTGGGGATGCACCGATATGATCTTGTGGGTCAATATGGATATCTGGTATTAATATTGCTATTACGGCCACTAATACTTTATTTTAGTAATATTTTTTACTAGTACTATATATATCTCCCTACTCTATCAACATCACTGCTGACATCGTTTCTCTGCTTCAATTTAAAATCCCACAATAACCCAACTGCGTGAGGTCATCGCTTCAACTAGTGAACCTCAACTAAAAACAAATGGCGCCATAAAACAACAACCTCAAACATTGCTGAAAAGCTACAATAGAAGTTTTGCAAAAAAATACAAAAGATGCTAAAATGGCTCCAACAAAAACCCAGGCATATGCTGGGTGAAATGCTTTGACGGTACATCGTCAGAGCTAAATAAAAGTCTATAGAAGCACACAGAGATAAAAACGATAGTAGATTCTGCTAAATTATTACTGCAAATATGTGAGTCAATAGATGGTTATTACTGTGGTTTAGAAAAAAAAAGAGGTGTTTGCTTTTCGCCATTGATTACAAAGAACCAAAAGAAAAATGCTGAAAAAAAAGAGTGTTGACTGACAAAATGATGCTGCAGTGTTATTACAGTACAAAGACGAAAACCCGAGAATATTCCCCACGTAGGTGAGGATACGTACACACTCGACTGTTGGGTCGACCCGCGCTCGTTTCTTCCGTGGTGCCTGGGGTGTTTCGCCACTGCTGGTGCCTTCGCCCGACCCGGGGACTGAGCAACACATGAAGTGTGTTTAAACGTGGGTGCAATCGCTATTAAATCACTTTTGATAGTAAAACACAGCTTCTCGAGTTTACAGCATCTCATTTAGCTATTTACTATACTAATTTTCTGTTGCTTACACACATTCACTGTCTTTTTCACGCATTTACAGTGTCTTCAGAAACACAGACTTCCAAAGGAATAAACCATGACATTGTTTCCTTTTGCTTAAATTAAAAATGTAAAAAAAAAAAAAAAAGCTTTGGGAAGTTTGACCTAAAAACCATCTTGATGCCATGTGTTTAAACGATGTAAAACGTTTATGCATCTCGATCACGTTATATTTACATTCTTGGCAAAAATATCCATGTATTACAATAGACTATCAAACTCAAAATATTTTACTTACTTTTCTGTTTTGCCTTTTTAATTTTCCTAAAATGGATGACACATAAGTATGAAAGACAGTCAGCATGACAAACAGACGTATCTTTTAGGATTCGACAAATGCTACGTTACATAAACGTCAAAACTTCAAAATGGCCATCTTTGAACATTTTAGTTTTTGATGGGACAAATCATAGGAGAAAAAGCTGGTTTCCTCTGCAAGTTTAAGCCCTTTCTATATATTTTTAATAGTTTCCTCTTCTTTCAAGTGACTGTTGAGTTTTCTGTAAAAACCACTAACTAATCAGAGTTTTACTTTTTAATAAAAGTCCAATTTAAATTATGCAATTATGCAATTATGTATAGAACATGCAGTACATTGATAATATTACTCTGACAGTAGAAAGAGGGTCGGCATGTATATGCATGAACAGTAAAATAGTACTTTTGTAGTACATATACTTATGATTTCCACGTCTAGGATGACAGCAACTGTCCTCAAACATACATACAGGAAAACATGAAACAAAAAACAAAGCAAACTTAAAGTAAGTAAACTTACAGATCAACATTTTTTTGCTGCACAGCAGCAATCTTCTTGCTTGGTGCTAAACCCCTCATCTTTCCCTCAACATAATGATCCCTGAAAAAGAAGGAAGACAGAAGTAGTATCAGGAATGTGTCGCACTGCAGACATGTATAAATATATGCGGCATCATGGTCATTATGGGTTTCCCAGCAGGATAATATTCCATGACATACAGTACAGTACAGTACAGTCCAATAAACAGGAAAACTGTTCACAGAGTTCAAACTAAACTTTCCTAAGTTGCTATTTCAGCTCCTAAACATTAATCCAATAGAAAACATGTGGGAGTGAGTTGAAGAGAACAGAGCATAAACAAGGACTCTGGATTTTGAGAGACTGTGCAAAATGGAAAGGTCAAAGATTCCCCCCCTCTCTCTCTCTCTCTCTGTTTGCTGCAACCTTGTGAAATGTTCCAGGGGAAGACTAATGGCTGCCGTAGAGGTAAAAGGCACTCGTACAAAATCAGCAGTGCACAAATAGTTGTGTAACACTGTTGAAAACAGCTGAAGTAATCAAATCAAGAAATTACGTTCATAAAAAAAACAGAGAGAGAGAGAGAGAGAAAGAGAGAGAGAGAGAGACGTCTGCTAAAACCCACATTTCTGTGTACAAAAGCATCAACTCACTGATTGGCCTTTTGAAGCTCTCTTTGTTTTGCAAGGTTGCTGTCCACATATTTGAGAACTCTGCTTTCAGGAACCCATTCATCCCAGCTGCAAAAAATAAAAAAATGTATAAAAAATATGAGATATGAAACACAACTGCTCTCTGACAGACAAAATAACTCCATCAGCAGTATTTGTTAGAAGGAAAAAAAAAACACCAGGCTGCTCACTTTTTGTTCCAGCCGCTGTAGTGAATGAAGTATTTTATCTGCTTGTCCTTTATGTTGATTTTGACACACTGGAAAGCAAGAAATACAAACACATTCCCGTTAAATTGGTGCCAGATATTTTCTTTCTTTTTTCTTTTTTTACATGAAAGAAACAGATAATAACATCCAAAACCCCTTCAGGGAGACAAACCTTTGCCTCATAGAGCAGTGGCCCATGAAAGCACAGGACTCTTTCACCTGGAAAGGAGAGAAAATCATCACACACACATACACACACAAATAAACGAACATGTATGCTTAAAAACCGCATTTTCTATTTAGCGTATAATGCTATGCAGCGGGTGTGTGCCAGCTGATTGATGCATCCACTGTGTGACAATATATAGATACAACCCTCCCACCCCCCCCCTCTTCCTCGGGGAGTTTATGTTTAAACGCCTCCATTTTTAAACGATTCACAACAACAAAAATTCATCCTCAGGAAGATTTTAATCGGATTATTTCGACTAAAAGCTGTAACGAAGCCTTTCTGTCCCTTCCTGGGGAGATGCTCCAGCAGAATAAAAACAACAATAACAAACCCGCCCCCTTCCTCATCCAGACATTCACAGCCACCATCCGTATCATTCCCCCACTCCACACACACACACACACACACACCAACCTTCTTGAAATTTCGGCTTAGGGTCCTGTTTTGGCGCCATTCACAGACTCAGCTGGTCGGATCTCTGAGTGATCAAACTCGAGCATTGCCAGAGTCCATTTCCTCCAGACGCACTCCCCTCCGACATCGAGGAAGAATCCAGAGATCAGCTTTACTGCTGCGGGTCACCTGACCACGGTGGAGCCGTCGAAGCCGTGGTGCGTTCAGGTGCTGCGCCTAAAACTCCGACAAAAAAATAAAATAAAAAATACTGTCATGAGATTTGTTTCAAGGACGAACGCGTGAGATGCTATATCGCTGATGGAGCGGATTCAGTTCTACACAACCTGGCATTTTTATCCATTACTTGAAAAGTCAATAACGACAGCGTCTGAACACCGGCGGAAGTCAAGTATGGAGCTAAATTGGGGCCATAAAGCTCGTTAAAAAATTTGAATAAAATTGACAGGTAATTCAGACTGGAATCACTAGGTTAAGTGTAACTTCTATGAAAAAGGCAGAAAGAGATGACAAAGTGAATGTTAGAAAGTACTGGAAATCATGCATAACTGGAGAGAAATGGAAAAGTGGTCAGTATTTACTCCAGGAGCCAAAAGCAGCATAAGAATATAAATAGTTCAGGATAGCATGCCACTGTAAGTAATCCAAGACTCTTTTTTTTTTTTTTTTTTACTTTAACAAAAGTGCAAAGCCCTGTGTTATAGTCAGTCTTTATCTCATAGACAATAACTGAGGCTCAGTTATTGTCTATGCAGTCTAAGAGTAAAGTGTAAAGTTTTGGGAGCAAACTGTTCTAGGCTGTATAGTGGAGCTCAATTATTGAGGACTTCATGTGAGGAGAGCAAATTGAAATTTTATGTTATCTTAAAAAAATATTTTTCCATATTATTATAGAAAAATCACTCAGTTAATTTCACCAGAACTCTTAATGCAGCATTTTAGATAAGCTGCAGGCTTTTTATTGGATTTTTATAGGTCTCCCGCAAGTAAAGAATCACAATAATTCAGCCTTATAACACATTCATACAATATTTGTTACTTAAACATGGACAGACAGACAGATTTAAGTGTGTGTGGAGTTGCTATAGTAGGCAGTGACATAAAATATTTTAATATGTAAAATAGCTGCTCCTACAAATGATTTGATCATTTACTTTTTTGCTTGAAATGATTTGATGACTATGGTTTTAAAAAAAAGACTAATCCTGAAAAACTAAATGCTTCAAAGCACAATTTAGAGACGTAACACTAAGAATAACAGCATTAGCAGCATAATAACCTCATAAATCACAAAAAGGTCCCAAAGACCCTGTGGTTTATGGACATACTTTTCCTTTTATGGCGTTCCAGTGATTGACCAAAACAAATTGCGTATTCTTTTTTTTTTTTTTTTTTTAGAGCGATGACCATCTGAAGAGAGAAAACCTGGCCTGGAAATCAAGTGGCCCATGTGAAAACAAGGGAATGAAATCGACCGTTTGTGGTTTCGGCGCCCTACAGGAAGACGTCCTGCACGTTGATTTATTACATCACAGCTTCTCAGCTTTTTCTGGCTACTTTTTCTCATGAACCCCGAGCAAACGAAGCTGTCACATTATCATGCAAGACGAATCACAGTTCACATCTGTGTTATTTCTTCCAAATAGTAGTGGCAGACCTCCAAATGGATCAAGTGGTCATTCATGTGTTTGTTGCCAGCTGTCGCAGAAATACTGACGGTCTGCCTCGAACTAGCATTTGAGAATACATGGCCTACATAAGAAATATTCAAATTAAGGCATGTGTGTTCAGATTGATGGAAGCTCAATCTGCCAGAAGATAAAGGTTTTTATTTTTTTAAATAAAGATATGAACAAAAAAATAGACAGCTGCAGATGCTTCTAAAACCCCCTGAGGGTTGGATGTACAGCTCAAAATGAATTATCCTTTCAAAACCAGTAAACATCTTTTCAGCTTCTCAAATGGTGTTTACCCATGGATGGAGAAGTGGAGTACGCACTGAAAGTGTTCTCTTCATGCAATTCCTCTAGGGGGTTTATTGATGAGGTCCTGCATGAGAAAAACCAGAGGATGAATGAATATCTGTCACATAAAGTCATGGGAAATAAAAAAAACGTCTTAGGTTTCTGGGGAGGCGAACGTGCACACTAAATTTACTTCACTTAGGTATTTTTTGGACAATGTCAGTGAAAATGCTCCAACTTTGTATTGCTGACTTTATCATAAAACCTGCCTCAGTCGTTATTTTTTATTTTCAAAAAATAAAAACGTATCACAAGAGAGTTTAGCATTTTATAAGCAATAATCTACAGAAGAAATCGACAAAAAGTGGAACTTTGATTCATAAATTCCACGAAATCCTGTAAAAAGTTATAGAGAGGTAATTTGTAAAACCAATTAAATTCATTTGTTTATTCTGCAAATGGAATAAATTAGTTCTTGTTGATCATTGAGGACTGAAAATATAACATGCACATATGAGGAAGTAACCTACACCTTTTGAGAATGTAATAAAATGTAGAAAACTTGGAACACATAGTAAAGAAATCAACAGCCTTTGCCAAGGAAGCCCATAAATTTCAGAAAAGTAACACTACGTGTCCTGGGAATAAAATCCCAAAAATTCTATAAATGTGATTTATAAATTACAAGAACATGAAGTATGCAATACCCTAGACAGTAACCTCTAAGATCCATTTAAGCCATCTATGAATTCCCATAAAGCAATCTTCCTCATCTCCTTAAAAAGTAACCAATAATATTAAGGAACATGCAAATACTGAGAATGCAATCAACAGATTCTGGGAAAGTAGCTTGACACATATGAGAAAGTAATTTTCGTGTTTCAGGAAAGAAATTTGCATGTTAATCTATAAATTAAGTTCAAATATACTTTTCCTGTTTTCTTCCCAGCGGGTAAAATCTTCACATATCTGACAAATTCCTAAACTCTCGTGGTAATTGTACATTCAAAGAAAAAGAGGAAAATGAAACGTAAACACAGCAGAAAACCTGCGAAAACGTGAAAGTGCTGCCCCCCCCTAACTTACCTTTTAAGGCGCTCCAGAAGTGAAAGCTTCCAAGTGCCTTTTAAGAGCGACACTGCACGGTTTCTGCTGAGAAGGAAGTATGTAGATGAAAGTGGCTCCGTCACAAAGAGCAGAAAATAACCCAAAGGTATAAAAGCAGTAAAGGATTTTTTTTCTCTCTCTCTCCACAGAATCAAAGAAAAAGGGTTCAGTCTGAGTCAGTGTCTGTGATGAAAGATGGAAGCTTACAGGTTCACGGTCGGCAGCTGCTTCCTGCCCTTTCTGTTCCAAAGTTTAACATTTCTAAATTGGAGCTCTCAGCAGTCCAAGACACAGCTCCACGCTTTTCACTCAGAAAGACAGAGAGAGCCACGTGTCTTAAATGCTGTGACGAAATTCCCTAACTCTGTTTGTAGACAGTTTTTACTATTTGTCATGTTCTCACTGTAGGATTTAAATCTTTTTAGGATGATTTAAAAGCTCCCAAAAAAGAGCTTCAAGTCTCTTAATTCAGAGCTTTATGAGAGCAGAGAGCGATGTTCTGCTTTCTCCCTGCCCAGTGAAACCAACGCCAGTCAGAGCCGAGGTTTCCTGAGGACAGAGATAAGGCTGTGTGATTGAGATTAGACAGCAGGAAGTAGATCCAGGGGTAGCTCGGTTGGCAGCATCTGTGACTTGAATTCGATTTGGGCTGTCGTGCGGACGTTACCGAGTAATGAAGTGACACGTGTTCGTTCTGCCTGACTGTATGCTGGACTACGCTGGTCCTCTGTTTCACCGAGGGTTTTTACTGAGCCCTTCGACAAGTCTGGAGGAAGAACATCACTGGGAGCGAGGAACAGCGTGCTGCCGGACAGAGTACTGAGTCAGCTTCGTTTCTCTGCCACACAAGGATGCAGACGCAATGTGGCCGGGGAAAAACAACTTCTAACTATTCATGATTGGTCTCACAGCTTTTTAGAATACAAAAACAGTTTCTGTGCTTTGAAAAAGGATTCTTCACCTTACTTATTTCTCTCTCTTTTTGTCCTACTTAAATGTTTAGGATGGTCAAATGCTTGTTAATGCAAGACAATGATGTCTACTGAAAAATTTAAATGCATTTCTCTACTTATTGATTTACTGAGGGAAAAAAAAAATCCAAACTAAATATACAAGTTGTGAAAAAAATAATCACCTCTTTTGTTAAATCATAAATAACCACATTTTTGTTTTGATTTCAACACCAGGGCCTCATACTGTATCCCCTTATCCTGTTGACTCAAAAAACCTGCCTGACAACAAGAAGGAGACTAAAAATATACCAAGAAGCAACATACTGTGTCATTTCTTGATCTAAAAAAAAAAAAAAAAAAAATTAAAGAACCCATGAGAAGCAAAGTCCCTGACGTCTGTTGGTTTGCAAAGCCTTTTCTAAGGATTTGAGGTTCCAAGAAACCTCAGAAAGAGTCTTTATCAAAATATGGAGAAAACATGAAGCAGTGGAAAACCTTCCCAGAGTGACTGACGTACCAAAATGACTCCAAGAGGGCATCAAAAAGTCATCCAGGAGGTCACAGTAGAACCCAGAACAACATATAGAGCATTGCAGGCCTTGTCTCGGCAAAATGGACAAAACGTCAGACAAGGTGGAGGGTTCAAAGGTGAAAAAGCACTGCTGTCCCAACTACTCTCATATTTCCCCACAAAGCATGTTGATGGTCTCCAGGACTTTTGGGGAAATATTCTGCAGACATTTCATAGAAAGAACCAAATTCCTACAGTCAAAAGTGGTGTCGATATTCTGTTTCTGCAGGAAACCTCCTTGCACCTACCTGAGACGAAATTCTAGGTTCCAGAACCACATTCCAGATGACACTTTCCTATATTTTTACTTGTACAACCAGATCAAAATTTAAAGAGGAACGGCAAAAGCAAATGAGGTGGATTAGCAGAGCTTGTCAACAAGTGAAGGTGGCATCCAGGAAATGCTACTGTGGAATATCTTCTCTGCTTCCTGGATATTAAGTCGCCAGCCACGTTCTTCAGGTTACGGCGACAGTGGGGAGGAACCTCTCCCACTTAACAGGAAGACACCGCTAGCACAACCAAGCTAACGCTATGTTTGTTTGGCCTCCAAGGTCAGAACTTGAATCTGCGAATGATGTTATGTTCAAATCCA